CACTAAGCATCGACACTACAGAGCTCTATTGTCACGGTGAGGGAGCGCAGCCGCCTCGCGAAGAAAACCGCTGACAGTAATATCGGGTATACATATGTATATCTATTTCGAGTTCTGCGCCTACTGCGCTGTTATATACTCTAAAGCTAATAAATACATGAAGATTGAATTAAACGAAACAATTCTGTCCGCATCCGGCGAAATCTGTTTCTTTCTAGTGTAACTGACCGGATATATCCAAATCTGTTTTCGTTATTTGGTCCTACAAATATTGAGCTGCGGCTGGAAATGTTGGTGTAACTCGTCGGAAATCACGGAGAGTAAATCTTGACAGTACTAAGTAACTGATGATGGCTTTGTTTTAGTGATACAGCTTTGGCTCATGTATGACCTATTACTATGGACCAATTTTGTCATTGCATTTTTAAATCTAATCACCAAATTTTTACTTGAAGTTATAACATGCTTAATATGCTTAATATTAATATTAATATTAATATGGAACATGCTGTGACAAAACCAGACAAAGTGACTTGAGACATCAAATAGACTCATTTTTTATCCTATTTCTCTGTTCCATGGCCTTTCTGCTATTCAATATCCTCCATAAGTTGAAAGTAATGTAATAAGTATTGTCTGATTTTTTTGGAAACCAATATTTATTTTGTGATTCTTCTACTAGCTTGTTGGTCATAGATTGATGAAATATGAGCAATATAAATTGTAGTAATTTCATGTTTGAATATCCATTACAGTATTTAGGTGGTAGAACATAGATCTCTATTCTGTTAATAAGCAAGAAGTCTTTTCAACTCCTTTTTCTCTTTTTTTAATTTTGGTGATTCTGTTCCCACCACTATGCTGTTACCAAAATCAATAAAATAGAACTGACCACTTTGTGGCTCAAAAAGGATGTTCCTTGTAGCAATGTCACCATGCAAAATACCACAGTGGTGTATACACTCCAGTATTTTCATAACTGTTTTTTTCTGTTTCATAGTAAGGATTGCAGGGTTGATATGATGGCTGCCTTCAATCAATTGCATTGCTAATGCAAAAAGATATCCACCAAAGATGTGGCCAGTATAAAATAAACATGGAATGGTATGTCCTAATGATAACCAATTGAATTTCACTATGTATATCAATATTATAGTGAATAGAAAAAAAATGATTACTTATTCATACCTTGATATTTCTCTAGGATAGAGTATATATGGGATTCATTGGTTAATGCCTTCACCTTTTCTTGTTCCTTGTATGATTCACAGATTTTCCATGCTACAGTTTGATCATGATAAACACCAGAGAATACCTTTGCAAAACCGCCTTCACTTATGTATTTGTCTATTTTTGATTTGCTTTTGTGATCATTTGTGGATCCTCTTGTTTGTCTGCTGGGAAGGTTTTTTGCTTGCTTTCTGGTCTCCTTTGGATCATAATTGCTATCATCACTATTATTGTCACTTGAAGTAGTTGATTCCTCTTGAGTATCTGGCCCTGCAGATATATTAACATGACTGTCAGGATCTGGATCCAACCTTGTCCCTACAACATCATTGAGTGCAAGTCTGCTGATGTAATAGACACACTGTCATAAATAATAAAGTTGGACAACGTGTAGCAGAATAAACAACACGGGAAATATACAAGGTAGTAGGCTCATTTTCTGGTCGGCAAAGGAACCAAGTGTCATCATAATTTGATAAGACACCATAGTGAAGACCATTACAGGCCATTTCACCAAATATTTGGACCAAAATTCTTTTTTGAAATTTAAATCGCTGATCGTACCGACGATGATTTGAATCCATAATTGGGTCGCGTTGCATAGCTCTCCAAATGTTCCAGAAATCATGATTACGTAGATTAAGATTGTGGCGTGTCTTCATTTCAAGAGGTAGTTTGGGGTTTATTCCATCGCAAAGAATGAAGTCAGGAGAACCGAGTAATCCGGGGGTTGTTCTTGAAAAAGTTACTCCTTGAGGTAATAATTTTTCGATAGGCATGAGAACGTTAAGCAGCCAGCAATCTTCTACATCCTTTTCAACTCTAAGGTTACGTGTTTCCGCCGGGTAAAATGGGAATTGATCCCCTGCCGGATAATCAGAAAAGTTCGCGGCATCACAGAAAAAGTTCCGCCATTCGTTTACTGCCGTTGGATATAGAGAATTGGCTGGTACTGTTGTCCCAGACGTCTTATCTAGTGGGAGCCAGGTGCAATCTGGAACGGTGAGAGCAACCACTTGTCTTGCTGATGGCATGTTTATCGTTGCGGAAAAAAACTTTTATTGAGGAATAATACGTGTCAAATATTCCTCCGTGATTTCCGAAAATCTCCGCCTGATACTAATGGTACGAAAATCTCCGATTCCGCAGCACATTAACAAGCTGTCACTAATTGCGCAGCAGGATAATGCTATTCACGAGATTCTGGACAACTAAAATTGGGTTGTCCCCGTGACAAACACAAATTCAGTGAAACGACAATTAATTCGTCCCTCTTTAATTCGGATTTTCGACAATCCGGACGCTTGATGCCGGACTCGTTTTTTTCATATCAAATTCCTTCCTTTTATTCGTCCATAATTATGAAATCTCGATAATTCGGTTCGGACAATTGTAAGTGATCAAACTGTATAAATTAATGTTGACAAAATAAGACAAGGTTATCAAGAGCCGTTACAGTTTGAGCAAAGAAAACTTTTCTTTCTTCCTTAATATTTTTTCCTCTCCTTCCTCTTTGACTTCTTCTTCTCTAACTGCTGCTACTATTAACTTTAAAAACATCTCCTCTTGCTCGTCATTATTGTAATCAATATTCTCTATTGCTACTTCCTCAAAATCAACAAACTCACAAACTTCAGTTAAATTTTTACCTTGTTCAATCAAATCTCTGATATTTGATTCTAAATCGGTCTCTACGTTCTCTGCTGAAACATAATTGAACATTGTAAGCAAGATCATGAGCGCCTCCACGACGACTTAATAACACTTACAGTCACTCGATTCTGTGCCGCAGTAGCAAAATTAATTGCATCTAGAATTGCTAATGGTTTTGAGATAGAACTTGACGTTTCTCCTGGCGAATTCTGAGTATGTCATATTCTTCGATGCGGTTCTCACATAGGATTGATCGGTAGTGTTCCTAAAGAAAGTTAGTTAAAATTAAAGTTGTATATCCTAGTTACTTTTAAATTATTGCTTAAACATAAAATTACATACTAATACCTTTAAGCTATATATTATTCCTTAATCTAATGGCTGTAGTGCTGAAATGGTGTTAGGCGGTAAGAAATTAACTCGAACATTTGTCAATTTAGCTATTATTTCTTCAGTCTTGTGGGAAGTGACGTTATCAGCTAACAGTATAATTTTTCGATTCTCTTTTCTCATCATACTATCCAAGCGACTAAGAGCACCATTCAAGCTTTTGCGTCCCAATAATACCAGACGGGTAAACTCGATTTCGCGATTTCTTTAAGAGCTCGTGGTGTCCAATTTTTATGGATAAGTAGTAAAGGCAGTTTTTTAGTTCCTGCTGCATTACAAGTCACCATTATCGTTATTCTATCCTTGGGTTTTTTTCTTCCAGAATAAGGCAATTAAAATATTAACTGGATCATATTCTGTAATTCTTCACGATGTTTTGGAAGATCTTGGTAATCAACACTGTCCAACTCCCCTTGTCTTCTATAACTCGCAAGTCGTTTCGTTTTTTAAAACGGCGAAGCCATCCATCTGATGCTGAAAACTTTTTCGAATCAATTCTTAGCAGTTTAGCTATTTTTTTTTTGCTTTTTTCTGTAAAATAGGCCCAGTGAGAATAATACCCTAAAATCGCTTGCTCACACCACATTGCAACACTTTCTTCTATGATAGGAAAATGACTTTTCCATTCTCGCTTTGCGTTCGCTTGAATTGATTCATCAACTGCTAACCACCTATCTTTCGACTTGAGAATTCACTAACCGTTGACTCCAATTTTATACTCAGTTGCAACTTCAACATTTTTCAAATGCGTATTTCCTTCTTCATAACAATTGTAAGATTTGTACGTAGTTTCTTTGATCCAGAACGATGCTTGTCTATAACTCGGGGACGTTTTTTGGAGAAGATTCTATATCTAACAACGGTGAGACTTGTTCCTCACAATCATTTGCAACCTGAATGGGTGAAGAGACATCTTTATTTCATGCAGGTGTTGTTCAAATCTCTATATACAACTTCGTTATAATAAACCGAACTTCGTCATGCACCAAAATTTCGGTATATCATGCTAATTTAGGAAAACTTCGTTCAACTGAATGGTTTATCTTATTATTATTAGTATTAGTGGTTGAAATTTCTTCGCTCTATCGTTATACAGATTTTAATTAAAAAGGGGTCTTCATTGTGAAATGTTACGGTCGAGAATGATGGACATATTAACCATTCTACTGGCTAATCACGCAATTAGTTATTAAACAATTAATTAAAAATTTTATTATTATTATTATCGAGTATGGTAATGTTGTTATTTTGCAAGAGTTTTGTTAACTTTCTCATCGAAACTCGGTCGTTTCTTTCAATAAAATTGAGACAAAGCATAATTGTCTTACGCTCATAAATTAAAGGCATATAACGATGATTATATTACACAATGTAAACAATAATGAACATAATTTTATATGTTTCAGCTATCGCTGAGGAATTGCTTTTGATTCAAAAAAAAATTAAACCAAATACTGGATTCTTTCAAAAAGGTAGGTATCCTTAGAGTGTAAAATTGAAAAAAGCCCAGCAATATATCGCTTTCATTTTCTGCCTCAGCAAAATTATTGTAACCGTAACAACTGGTAAAACTCACATGACTTTTGTGTCAAGTGACGTCAATTTTATGTCCCACGTTTCACCAATGCGTTCATACTACAATTGTGCCAAGGTTTATATGCACATCATGCATCATGCAATAAAACGACTTTCCAATCACTGCCTAATTGGCGATAATAAATAGAACTCAAGGCTTCTTCACTCCCCCCCCTCTTCACTTATGCTAAGGACGTTATAAGATACAAATGATCAATTAAACTTATCGGTTAATATAAAAAAAATCAACTATTCTCATCTTGGGAATCCATTAAAAGTATTATATATAACTCATACCGACATACATAGCACAATAATAATAACTGACTCTCGGAAACCCACCTAAAGTCTTGCCGAAATGTACCAGATAATCATCTTCTTGCTTGCTTTGGTCTCGTTCGTTCCCCACTCTTTGGCACAAAATTGCGATCCCGCAGTGTTCACACCAGGAACTAGTCAGTTAACAACTCAAACCTCGTCGTTTAGCGGTATACCCATCACATTAACTGGAACTTTGTCGATAGTCGATGGTTGTCATTTCCAAGTTAGTGGTTTTAGTTATTCCACTGCCCTCCCACTGACGTGAGTATATTCTGGTGTATCTGTTCAAGATAGAAGATGAAATTTCTGACTACGAGCTTAGATAGTCATGAACAAGGGGATACCGAGATTAAGGATATTTGTTAGAGTTGCAGTTAATTGTCATGTCGATATCCCTATTCGCGAAGATATTCTCTTTCTCTCTTTCTCTTTCTCTCTCTCTATCTACCTGTCTGTCTGTCTGTCTATTTTTATCTGTTTACTATCTATATATATATATGATAATACTAACAAATACTGTTAATTATTCATTTATGTCAATAGATTTTGGTTTGGAGCCAATGGTACTAATTCTGCAGCAATACAAATAGTTAAAGACCAGGTGCCTCAAATTGTCAATCCTGCCACCATACAGTACCAACTATTGAATAACACGAGATTCAATTTTGATACCATCTTGCTGGCCTCTAAGCAAAATACCGATCAAGTAATCATAGGGTACGCACAGATTCGTAAGCCTAATAATAATACAACCGCTAGCAGTAATGGTACAACGCCCAGTGGTGGATCAAGTAGAAGCATGAACGAAGGTATTAATGGCTTCGTCATCGGTGCTGGAATGCTGTTGGTTGCTACGTTCTTTGCTTTTCAATGAGAGGGAGGTTTATAACTGTGTATGTGAGGGTGCAAGAGTTTGAGTCAATAATACTTTTGGGGGTGATATTATTAATAATTGTAGCGATGGACTCTAATTATGTCAAGTAATAACATCAATTGTATTGTGGACGGTTAATAATCTACGACTTTATCATCGATTCATTGTAAAATCAATATGTATAGTCGAGTAAGGTGCTAGCGGATCTAGTGCTAATAAAACGAGCGATTACAAGCGACATTTGATAGTGTTATTAATTGTTGTTGTTGTTGTTGTATTAATATTAACATTTAATAATTTGTTAAGGTTTACTAATAATTCACTTTGCAGGGTCCAAAGTTTATAATGTGCCCCATTTTATGATCGGCAGGCGTCATTCTTGCGTCATTCTCGGGATTAAACCTATTCTGTGGCACGCTTCATTATTTCGTGATTAGAAATAGAAGTTAGTTTGAGTTACACTTACTGTTGCATCATGCGTCTTGGCAACAACAATCGTATATCTTGTTTGACATTTACAAGAATGTGAGAAATCCAAACAGTCGATGTTGCACCCAAGCAGATACGGACGATAAGAGATTTAGAGCCAGCAGCGCCGTTGGACACCATACTTTCATATTTCAAAACAAGTCAAATAGAGTTGCACAATGTCGAGCTACATGATAAATCAGTGTTACCAACCTCAGTAACTGAAACTGATGCTTTCGTTATTTTGTTACATTCAGCCTCACCCTTTCTCCGAATACTCGTTCTTTCCTTTCTAATTTCCCTCTTAATCCGCGTTAGAAAACAAGATCATGACAAAGATATTCTTTTTCTGCTACGGAGTGCTCTGCCCGGTTGGTCTGATGTCAAGTATGTCACGGACATTGAAAAAGAACGAGTTTCAGGTGCTCTGACAAATTGTGTGTTTTTTGTCACGGTTGGAGTTGACGAGTTTGTTGACCGAGAAAGGGAACTTTTTTCCTCGAAATGCTGGGTTCGTTCAACATCGGACCTTCCGTCCTCGCTTTGTTCCAGAATGGGAGAATAGAACAATTTCTGCCGTCCAAAACGAAGATATACGCAACCAGGAAATTCGCGACGAATTAGTCGTTTAATGGCTCAACTTCATTTAAAGGTTCCTAGTCTTTCAACGGGGAAGGTCATACCTGCGAACATAAATAAGTGGTATGATATGTCTAACGACAACTGAAGATAAAAAGAAGGCAGCGAGTATGGAAAAGCCGAATTTGGATGCGCTAAGAGGAGAGATCGATGAATATATCAAAACTTTGAGAGACGGGCTAAAACTGGAATCAAGAACTGATAGATAAAATAGCGGAGCATTTCCGTAATTGGAAGGTGAATTTCTTCTGAGCACCCGTTCGTAGTATTCATTATGTGACAGACATCGACATACTTCATTGTACCTGTTATTAAACCCTGTCAATAACATGACGACTCTCTGATTGTTATGTATGCACACCATATAAATTCAAATCCGAT